CCCCCCCCCCCCCCAGCCCCTGTCCTGCCCTTATTCCACCCCAAATTCCCCCATTCCCGTTTTGGGGAGAGTTCTTTGTTCTGGAACCTGTTGAGAAAGGGGAAACTGCACCTGGGGCAGGTCCAGGCTGGAATTTGGGGATTTTTGGGGATGCCTATGAAGCTTTCCAGGATCTCCTGAGGAAGGGCAGGGTGGGCACTGGGTCTCCCTGGGATTTTGGGGGTCCATAAGTGGTTTTGGGGAGGCCCCAGAAGATTTTTTTTCTGGAGTCTGTTGAGAGGGTTGGAGTGGCTGCACCTGGGGCAGGTCCGAGCTGGGATTTTGAGATTTTTGGGGGGATCCCTGTGAACTTTTCTGGGATCTCCTGAGGAAGGGCAGGAAGGCTCACTGCATCTCCCAGGGATTTTTGGGGTTCCTAACTGGTTTGCGACGCCCACTCAGAAAGGCCAAGATGCGGCTGCACCCCGGGCAGCTCTAACGCCGGGATTTTGGGATTTTTTGGGGATCCCTATGAACCTTTGCGGGGTCTCTTGAGGAAGGGCAGGGGGTAAGCGCCGGGGGGGGCTCGGGGGCGGCGCGGCTGCACCTGGGACTGCGCCGTGAGCTGCAGTTTGATGGCGCTGGAATTGACCTTGGCCGCTCGCAGCAGCTCCTTCATCCCCCTCATCTTCTGCGAGCGGAACCGCAGCACCGGCCCCGGGGGTTGCGGCGCGGCCGGGGCCGGCCCGGGGGTCCCGGTGGCCGGGGGGGCCGCAGGGGGAGGTGGTGGGGTCTCCTCTGGCCGGGGGACGCGGGGAGGGGGGCGGCGCTCGCCGGGTTTTTTGGGGGTGGGCGGCTCCTCGGGTTTGGATTCGCGGCGGGGGCCCCGGCGGCGGCAATCGCGGGGGTCCTCGGGGCCCCCCAAATCCGCCTCGGGGGGGGCAGGGTCCTCTGAGAGCAGGGTCACCTGCTGGCGCACCTGGGGGGACACAGAGGGGCTTCGAGGGTCATGAGGGGACTTAGAGCACACCCAGAGGTTTTTAGGAGACCCCAAGGAAAATGTGGGGGAGTCCAGAACCCACTCAGGAGCCCCCAAATCCCAGGGATGTCCCAAAAAGGAGATGGGGAACCCCAGAACCCACTCAGGACCCTCCAAGGAAGACATTGAGGACTCTTCCAGAACCCACTCAGGATCCCCCAAACCCCCAGGGATGCCCCAAAAAAGAGATGGGGGAACCCAGAACCCATTCATGATCCCCCAAACCTCCAAGAACACCCCAAAAAGGAGATGGAGGAACCCCAGAACCCACTCAGGACCCTCCAAGGAGGACATGGGGACCCCAGAGCCCACTCAGGACCCCTCACCTGGCCATCAAAGTCCCCAAGGAACTGGACAATGAAGGTGGCCCAGCACCCATGCAGGACACAGGAGGGGATCCCCTGTCCCCAGGACCCCCCCCAAAGCCCTAGGGGACCCCCCAAAAGCCTCACCTGGCCATCGAAGCGGCCGAGGGACTGGACGAGGAAGGTGGCCCAGCCCACGTGCAGGACTGGGGTGGGGCTCCCCTCCTCCCACCTGCAGATGCCATCGTAGAATCGCAGCAGGTGAGCGAAGCACTCGGGGTCCTGCAGGGCTGGGAGACCCCCGGGGGCCCCCTGTGGACCCCCCGAGTCAGAGGGGACCCCCAAAAGTGTGGGGGAACCCCACAAACTGGGGGAAGAGCACCCTCACCCCGCCACATTGGGAGCTGGGGGGTGTCTGCCAGCGGGGACCCCCAAATTCAGAGCCCTGCAGATGTGAGGGACCCCCGGGCAGAACCCCAAAATACCCTCATCCCTTTTGTCCTGGGAATATCTCCCCCTCCCCACTCCAAACAAACCCACCCCAGGCACGGCTCCCCCACTCAAGGCCCCCCCCCCCCCAAACCGGGGGGCCCCCCCCCACCCCCCGGGGGGGGCCCGGCCCCCCC